GATAATGTTCTCTTACATCTCAAAGTGAGTGAAAAAATTGGAGTCACTGTGAAACCCTTCGACAAATTGAACCCAGAAAACAGATTAGGAATGATAAAAGAGAGGATAAAGAGAGCCACGAGACCAAGCCAAGGACATGTGCACATGAGATTTAGTGTGTAGGGTACCCATCTGACTCAGAATGGGACCCTACAAGTACAACACAGCTCCATTCCATGAAACTAAAACAGAGAGTTACACACCCTGTACAGTTTTGCCACAGGATTTAGCACTGTACTTGCACTACAATACAAAAATCACACTGATCTCTCTAGTTTGGACCACCAGAGTTCCATTTTCCTTTCCTAAGGCACATGAGTTTGGTCAGTTATTTTGTTATATGGACCATTGTGCTTTGGTATATAGTTAAATTTCCTCAGAATCCAATATTTTGCTCTGTTCTATTATGTTGTGTTTGGTTGAGGGATTTGAGGGGGGATTTGGAAAGAGAAATGGAAAAGGTAGGTGAAATGAGACAAAATATGCCTAAATTTCACGTAGTTTCACACACCTTTTCTCTTTTCCTTTCCAAATCCCTTCCTAAATCTTCCAACCAAACACAGCATAAGTTAATGACACTTTCACTGCATAAGGTCTTCGCTATTGCAGAAATTATCACACGGCACTACAATACAAAAATCACACTGATCTCTCTAGTTTGGACCACCAGAGTTCCATTTTCCTTTCCTAAGGCACATGAGTTTGGTCAGTTATTTTGTTATATGGACCATTGTGCTTTGGTATATAGTTAAATTTCCTCAGAATCCAATATTTTGCTCTGTTCTATTAGTAAGGGGTTGTTTGGAATGACTTAAATAAGTGCACTTTTTGTCTTTTTACGAAAAGATGTGCAGAAAAGTAGAGAGATGATGTGATGAAAAAAGATAAAAAGATAAAAAAATGTGTACTTATTTAGGATAGTCAAACTTGGCCTAAATGACACTTTCACTGCATAAGGTCTTCGCTATTGCAGAAATTATCACACGGGTCAGGAACACCATGTAATTGTGTGCTCATTCAACAATATCTTGTCATACCATGTGCAAAGAGGTTTCCGTAACTTAAACTCATTAACATTCAAGTCACTGTGGGTGTTTGGGAAGTTACTATTTTAGTAGACTATTTTAGTAGGTTAAAATTTTTATATTTGAGAAGATAATTGAATTTTTTTTATAGTTTGATGTGACATTTATGAGAGAAAAAATGAAACGATTATGCGTTTGATGTGACATTTTGTCTTATTAACTATTTTAATCTATTTTGTCTTTTTATGAATTTTAACTTTAAAAAAGCTAAAATTCCTCTTTCCAAACAGGACCACTATAGAACAACCTCACCATTGTATTAAGCCCAGCCTTTGCACTGTTCTATTAATGGGGGGGAAATTCGACTAATGTCAAACTATGGCATTAGTGAAGGCATTCATTTAATTTATTTCAAAAAAATAATACTCCCTCCGTCCCAAAATAATGGTCCCTTTTGGGGAATTCAACTTTTTTTTATAGTACAATTATTACATTTGAAAAAGTTTATTTTCCAAAATTACCCTTTTGATAGTACATTTTTTGAGAATATTAATGTCATGATTGTACTTTTTATATTGTTTATTAATTTAAAAGAAGGGCAAAATAGGAAATTTATATTATTTTTGTACTTGATTTTTGAAGAGGGACTAATATTTTGGAACAATGAAAAATGAAATAAGGGACTAATAATTTGGGACGGAGGGAGTAATAAGTTTTTGATATTATAAAATTGAACTGTAATGAGAGGGGAAATGATATAAACAAGTGAAAAAATTGACTGGAGAACAATTTTGGTGAAGCTTGAGTTATTCAACTTTTGTATTTTTTTTTTTTTTTGAAGTAAAAAATTATGAACTTGTAGGCACCATATTCAAACCATCCAATTCGAAGGTGACAGGTAGCAAACAAGGGGTATTATACAAGAAGTCAGTGAGGAGCCCTACCTTCGAGCAGCTCACGTGAGCCACGAGTGAAAGATTTCAACTGGCAAAACCCTTAAATCACAAGTGGAAGGCACATGAGGGAGAAGTTATTCAAGGAGTAGTTATGAGCGGTTATGCACATTCAAATCAAAGAGTAGCCCTAAGAAATAGTTGAACAGAGGAAGATCATAGTGAAACGAATCGGTCTAACTGCCTCGAAGGCGTCAAAAGAGACTTAAATAAATGGAGACAAAAACTTAGAAAGTCCCCGACCAAATCTAGACTCTACGTTTTTATTAATTTCATTTATCTTTAAATTTTAGCATTTTACTTTTATGCACTGCACTTACATTTCATAGGAATAGGTTAACTCTATAATTCTAGAACTCGGTCGATTTAAAGTTTCGAAGTTGTCCTTGCTTAAGATAACATTTTGTAATTGTTTATTCAATTAATCAATAATAATTTCTATCCAGTCTCTCCCTTGCATTTTGTTACGAATTCAAGTTACAAACATTCTTCATTGAGGCTAAGATAATCTTAATATAATCGTCCGATAAATTTGGCAAATTTATTATTTATAAAGACTTTTCAGATCTTTATTGGCATACTTAAATTATATTTTTAACTTTCGAAGTGTTAAAATAGCCAACGAAACTTTAAAATGGTCCTATATAACAAAAGTGTAACTTTATCATATCTTGGTAAACAAAACAAAAAAAAAATGCATTACAAACAAAATTATTACTCACCATTTTAACTTAATAATATTTTCATTAGAAGACTAAAAAATGACTATTTCATCTTGTTCCTATAGCTACCAGCAAAGGGACAGCAGAAAGTCAAGGTTGTGTCCAACCTACCACAGCACTCACTCATTCACATATCAAACACTGTAACCCCAACTGTCTCTTTTTTGCTCTTCTTTTTAACTCGAAACTGCCTATCTGCTTCCCACAAAATCTTGTTGTGTTCAATTTTGCATTGCCCTGTTAAAAGGGCTTGAAATTTATTTATTTATTTATTTTCTTTTTGTGAGGTAGGTTTTATGGGTAAGATGGTGTATCATTGACCCTCTCTAGACTATATAGTAACTAAAGTCTCAAGCACTACAACTGTCCATGTATTTAGATTACGGATTTGAGTATGTGAAAAAGAAAAAAAAAAACAAATACAAAAACAAAAACAAAAACAAAAAAAAAAAAATGAATGAAACAAAAGTTAAATGTAATCCAATTTTTGTCGCATCCCATTTTTTATTACATTGGACTCATGTAACTTTTTTTTTTATTTTTTGGGATACATCAAATGCTTGGCCTCCTAATATGATGCAAAAAGTTTGACTAATTAAGCTAACCCAATTGATTACGATTGTATAAATTGTAGTGTTTTACAAAGTTAGTAAAAATATGACTTTTTAATTTTTTTGTGACTTTTTAACTTTTTTGTATTAAAAAAATTAACTTTTTATAACTTTTTTATATAAAAAATTCCCATTTTTTATTACATTGGACTCATGTAACTTTTTTTTTTATTTTTTGGGATACATCAAATGCTTGGCCTCCTAATATGATGCAAAAAGTTTGACTAATTAAGCTAACCCAATTGATTACGATTGTATAAATTGTAGTGTTTTACAAAGTTAGTAAAAATATGTTTTTTTTAGTTTTTTGTGAATTTTTGACTTTTTTGTGTTTAAAAAATTGACTTTTTATGATTTTTTTATAAAAAAAATTAAAAAATTAAAAAATTATTTTTTTACGAGAGTTCTCAAAACACTCTCGTTGTTTCAAAATAAAGTTGCCCTTAGCCGAAGACAGTGACACTACACTAGTGCCAACAAAGGAAAGTAAATAAATAAATAAATAAATAACCCAAGTCAACTCTTTGTTTCTCATAGATTATTACAATGACCTCCATGCGAATCACAGTTTAAATTCAAATATAAATATTTCAACTAGTAATAAACAATAATTGATGAATTACAGAAATGTCTCAATTTTTGCTGAGAAGTGAACAAACGCCGTACTATGATATGTGCGCAGTAAATTGGTCAGTAATGTGAATCATGAGTGATGATAGAGATTCCTAAAAGTAAAGTTTTAAATTTAACTTTATTTATGTAGGAATGAAAAAAATAAATAAATAAATGGGCCAAAACATCATATTAATGGTGAGTACCATTTATTAAAACTTTTCAAGTTCTTGATTTAGACCTCACAACCGTTTTTGAGTAACGCCCACCAAAACATCACATCAATGGTGGGCCTATTCATTAGAGATCTTTTAAGATTCTTGGTTTAGAGCTCTCAACTATTTTTTAGTAAGGTCCTACTCATTAGAACTCTTTTAAGACTCTTAATTTAGAACTCTCAACCATTTTTTAGTGGGGCCCAATACTGATGTTTTGATTTTTTTTTTTTTTTTTTCATTACCATATAAATAAAGCTCAATTTAAACCTCTACTTTTATAACTTTCTATCACCCCTCAAACTATTAACCCTTCTCCAATCACCATTGTTACCACTATCAGATGCCAATGACCATTAATTCATATCTCTCTCTCTCTCTATCAGATGCCAATGACCATTAATTCATCTCTCCCTCTCTCTCTCTCTCTATCAGATGCCAATGACCATTAATTCATCTCTCTCTCTATCAGATGCTAATGACCATTAATCTCTCTCTCTCTAATACCAAGCCAACTGGCCATTTTGAATCATTCACTTTAAACAGATAAAATAAATATGGTAAATTACACTTTTCGTTCTTGTAATTTGATCCAAATTCTACTACATTTTAAAAGGCTAATAAGTGTTCCAAAATCGTTAATTTTAACTTTCAATTTGAGCAAAAAAACTAAATTAGAATAAGACTTAAAAGTGTAGAAATGAAATTGTTCAATTTCAAATAATGAGAATGAAAATGAAATTTCAGTCAAACTATAAGAATTAAAAGTGTAATTTATCCGAATAAATAATAATGTGAAAGGGTAGAGAAAAGGGACAAAAATGGTCTAGGATTTGAGTGTGATTGATTCTGTTTTTTTAACATCACGCTACTCTTTTTTCTCTTCCTTTAAGTAGAGAAACAAGAACAAGAGAACAGTCCATATCAATCTTATTTTCCTCCACAAGAAAACCCATTTGGTGTTCATTTGCATAGGGGAGGCTAAAAATGAATGCATCAACTTCTGAATGCAGTAGTGGATGTGAATCTGGTTGGACAATGTACTTGGATGATTATGATCATCAATCTTCATACTCTGCAGATCAATTCAAGAAAAATGGTGGTAGAGATGTTAGTGAAGATTGTGGATATAAATCAGCAAATGTGGAGGACTTTGATGAAGATGAAGATTTGTCTATGGTCTCTGATGCATCGTCTGGGCCGCCACATGTCCGAGGAGACGAAGACGATGAAACTGAGTATTTTTGTTGCGGTTCTTCGGCTTCTAAGCAAGCGAACAAGCGAAAGAAGAAAAAGAAATTCAAAGAACAGAGAGGCAAACATCAGCATTTGTTTCTTGATGACACCGCGAGCTCCGGTGTTAAGGCAAGTTCATAAATTTAATGCTGTTTTGTTTTTTGTTTTTTGTTTTTTTAACAATCGGAGAATCATATAGTAGCGAGCGTCTCATCCACCAGACTAATCTTTGTTCTCAATTCAATACATGAAGATTTTGAGGCTTCTTCATAGTTTGCTTGATGGGTTTTCTTGTATTTTTGCAGGATCATATAGCTCTTCCCCCAAGTGGAGCTTCAATGGAGCATGCACTAGGCTTCTCTCAGGGTTTCTCTGCAACACATTTCAAGGTCCAAATGTTCCAATTTTTATTTTTATTTTTTAAATTTATTTCTTGGTTTCTTCCAATCCAATCAAAAAAAAATAAAGTTACTTACATCTTACCCTTCCCAAACCCCATTCAGCACTAACCTCGTGCACTGAGTCGCCCATTTTATTCGGTCCATTTATTTATGTATGTTAATAGTGATTTCATTTGAAATGTACATTTCTTTCTTTCTTTCTTTCTTTCTTTCTTACTAAATCAGATAACCAATCTTTTTTGATTTTCATTCGAAGTAAACCAAATACTAATACTGTGACGCAAACTTGTGAATACTTACAGGGGAAATCTGCAACGCAGAAGCACTTTGGTTTGTTTCAGTCTTCTGTGTCAGGGAAACCAACTTCAGGAGCAAAAGGTGAGTCAAATATTTTATCTACATTTTTGTTGGAATGCAATATCATGGATCAGTATAGCCTAATGCTTCCAAGGCCTAAAATTGGATTTTCTCTCGGTTTCTCTCTCTCTTTCTTTTCTGTGGAAAGGTGGTTTGCAGGGAAGAAAGTGAGAATGAGGAGAAAGTGAATCTTCTACTCTACTGTTTGTTGCAGCTGCAGTCTCTCATCAAGGAATGGGCGTGTAAAAGGAAAAAGAAATTAAAAAAGTAGATATCTGAGGATCTTGGTCCATTCTTTTCTGTAATTTTTATTGCTATTTGTTCTTGTCAATGTAGTAGGAAACTGTCTGAGAACATAAAAAAAATAAATTTCCTGTTTTTATTTCCAATATTTACCTTTGTTTGTTTTGCTTTGACAAATTATAGTTTCCAAAATAGGAAGCGGAAAAGCGATAACCAACAGGCGAAAGGGAAGTGTGAAATACGGTGAAAAATATATATGACAAACAATCGAATGGGAAACTTATAATGTCAATTTTTGAGGAAATTTTGTAGTACAAAATTAAAAATTAACAAAAAACCTGTAGAAATACTTGGGAGGTTTTCAACTTTTTGAGTTATAAATTTTATTAAATTTTTTTTAAACTCATTTCTAATTATATGTTTTCAGAAAAGTTTACTAAGTAGTTTTCAAGATTACCTTAGTGAAATTTCTCAAATAATTCTTTATTTGCTACAAATCTCTCAAAACAAAATCGTAAAAATTTAATCAAATTTTTTTGTAGTTTTCTACAAAGTTTCATGCTACTTTCCCTTTCAATTTCTTTGTAGTTCCCTTCAACATTTAACAAAAGTATCGAAAACCTTTCCCAAAAGTATCGAAAACCTCTCCCCTGTCAAATAGAGTTCCCAGGCAGCTATGGACAAACCGTGCTTTAGACACTGCCTTCATACTCTCCATCCATTAATTTAACACAGAATCTAACATATCAGAAAAGTTCATTTACCATCAAATAAAATCAAGAAAAGAAACGAGGTGAAAAATAAAGAAAAGAGAACCATTACAGAAGGTAAATCTGGTTCTCTCAGATATTGCATTTCCTTCTTCGTTTTAACGAATCTCTCTCACAATTTCATGTTGGGTCGGTAGACCTAATAAATACTGTTCACTTAACTTTACTGTTCACTCAAACACTGGGTTCAATAAGGGGTAGGGGTCCAAGGGGATTTACCCCTGGCCGAAATTTTTTGAGTACTTTCATAATTTCCATATGTTCCCGTCTAATCCTAATTTTATATTAATAAATAGACGAGGGGCTCTCTTTTAAGTTAACTGGAAGTTGTATTTTTCTGATTATAGTGAAAATCGCAGCAGCCGTGGATGTAATCCTATTCTGGGGTGAACCACGTAAATTCTTATGTTCTTGTATGTGTGATTTGTTTGATTCGTTAATTTCTTTCTTATTTGTTGTTTCGTGTCTCACCGATCTTAGTTAGTAATGGTCAATTCCTAACATTTCAATACCTAAATACAATCTAAATGATTGTGCTCTCTTGCAAGTAGGGATGTGTACAGTACGATTCAGACAATTTGAGAATAAAATTATGAATTGAATGGCGGATTAACGTATTGACGAACTGACAAATTGCAATTTTGAGCGGATTGGCGGAATTGAAAAATATTCTAATCAATTATCAAGTCTTTGCGTAATATATAATACTAATTTGCATAATATTTTTCACATATATAACACAAACTAATTTTACATAATATTTTTCATATTATAAATTTTAAAGTTTAAATCGTGCTTAGCGGATAAAGCGATGTGACTTGATGCAAATCAGTGCGATTTTAATAGATTTGATGATATTTTGCACAATCCTACAGATAGGCACATAAAAAAATTGAACCAAAGTCCTCAATATATACTACAATATTATACATTTGAGTTAGTAAAGACTTGACATATACAAATGTATGATTTCAGATACTGTTAAAACAACTATTTAGTGACGGGACAATTGATATGATACTATCAAAAATAAATCTTCACTCTCGATTTATGTGATTTTCGTGTGAGACCCACGTAAATAAATACTGAAAAAATTGACAGTGCAACTACTTATTTAGGTTGGATGGGTGAATTAGGCAAGGTAGAGTCCACACTTGGAACTCATAACAAACCAATGTCTTTTTATGAAACTTTGAGCCCGCCCAAAATCACTCATTTTCCAGCAAAAGCGACCAAATGAAGCAGCCCCACTAGCATATGACAGCTGTCCCCATGAGAATGTGATCCATATATATAATAATAATAATACTGATGCAATTATTTGATTTTTGCTTTGGTGGGTTCCTTCAAAATCTTCTTTTTACTATTTGTATTTTGAGGTGTGCTTCCAAATTCCCATCCTCAGAAATAGAAATCCATGTCTTGGATAATGACATGGATTTCAAGAACAGGACGATGCCCAAACGTGGCCTTACAGCTTTCTTTCATAACAAAATCTCTTCTTGGATTAAGGGTTGGTTTGGAAAGTGGGTTGACTTTTTAATTTTTTAGTGGATTGACTTTTTAATTTTTTGAATTTTTTGACTATTTTAGCATGGGCTAAAAAACTTGGTTTGGGCAAGGTTTTTTGACTTTTTTGACTTTTTTTTGTGAGAGAAGAGTGTAATGATTATGGATTTGATGTGATGTTTATTTTTTGTGACTAAAATAATCTATTTTATCTTTTATGGCTAAAATAGCCAAAAAAATTCAATCTAGCTCTTCCCAAACGGAGCCCATGATCTTGGTTAAGATGGAACTTGAAGGATACAAATATGGATATATAGTACTCATGCTTGATGGTACTCTTGAATTCATTTTCAAAATTCTACATGTTAAAATAAAGAGATTTTGTATAAATTCTTCCTCTTCTAATAAATGTTTTGGGTATACTCCATCAAAATATACTACAAATTGGTGGATAAGCAATGTTACCTACTAAAAGAAAAAATAGGATAAATTGCATTGACCATCTTTCAGGTTTAAAAAGAATACAAGAAGTTTCATAAATTTGTCAAAAATTATACCGATTTTCTTTTAAATGCACGAAATTATTGCAAAAATTATGTAGACATAAAGATAAAATATATACTTCAGTATAAAAAAATGACATCATTTTTTCATCATATGATGAATTAGTGTGGGTAATTTTCTGACCACACTGCCCGCCTAGTAATCAGCTGAAGAGCATCGGCAGAATAGATGGCTTCAACAAACCTGTAACAAAAAGAAAAGGCTCCGGCGGTAGCTCTTCCACCCGGGGGCACTCCGACGATCAAGTCAGTATATCTCTCAAAGATAATCAAGTGCTAAACTCACAAGCTTGAGTATAAAACTGCGTACCTTAGACCCACGGGGTGCCTCTCTTTTATAGTTTACTCAATCCAAGTACTACTAGAAGCCTGACTCCTATGGACTCCAATTTAGTACTTACTTTGGATTTCTTAAGTAAACTGCCTAAGAGCTTTATCCTTATCTTAGCAAAAAGTCTTCTCTTTTATCTAGGACTCTTGTCCCTTATCCGCTTATCTCGGATTCCGATATCTTCGGAGATCACCTTGGCCTTGCCTAGGTAACCTCGGCATAACTATCAAGACACGTGGCATCTCGGCTGACACGTCAGCGTCACCATGCCATGTGTTAGTATTTCAGAAAACACATCCCCACAACTGATGAAAAATGATAATGAATTGCTGACATTATTGGTTCAACCATTACCTAAATTTGTATTTAAAAAAATCTTGGCATATAACCATAGAGGTTTTTTATTTATTTTTTATTTCAAATCAAACCCTTGTCCCGTAATGCTGATATAGAAACATTTGTCCATATTTTTGTAGAAAATAAGACACAGCTCAACCCCACATTATTTCTTGGTTTTTTAACAATCTCTCTGGCCCAATAATTGAAGAAATCCACACATGAGAGAGAGAGAGAGAGAGAAATCATGATAAAACACTATGGAAGTAGAGAAGGATAAACATCAGAGCTTATACAAACAGGTTTTTCACTTGAAATAGGGCAATAAACAAAAAGAAATTTGCAAATAACGATGATTAAGAATCTAGAGACAGTACTAAACTATATTATGCAAAAATAATGTTGGATAAGAATCAAATTAAGATTGGAAACAGCTTTAGCACTTCCAAACAAAACATGCACTTAGGTTTTAAGTCCGCATTTTAGGGCAGGTTTGGAGATCCCATGAAAAGAGAATCTTCCAACTGTGATTTTTTTTATATTTTTTTATAGCATTTGTTAGCACTTATCATCCTATATCCTATAAAATCATTGCCCTCTTATAAGATGATATTTGGATCAGAAATTTATATTGAAAAAAAAAATGCCAAGGAAATATGTCTAAAATATAAGTTATTGGGTTATTTTTGAAAAAATACATTTAAATAGAAACAATTCAAATTAATTAAATTTTATAAATGTGCAAGTGAATCTATGTTTGTTGCAAGTGAAAGCTATGGCATTGGACACACTCTCACTTGCTTCAACTTGTATGTTTATGACAATACATTACTTTGAGTAATTCTCGCTTGAATAATGCAATTTTTCCTCAATTTTTTTTTTCTTTAGAAGACTCATCAATAACAAGGTTGTGAGTCCCCATAGTCCAGCACCAACTTAATTAGTCTTGCCTCCTATAACCAGCCCTCAGAACATTTCCCCTCCCTCAAAATCAAATCTTTTGTGTTTGATTCATCAAAACCAACAAAGCTGGAAGGAGGGTCAACCTTATTGGCAAAGTACAGTTTTAAATGCTTTCAACATCAAAGTGGGAAGAAAAAGCTTCAACTTCAAGAAAATAGTAATTATATTATTATTTTATTATTTTAAATCACTACGGCAATTCAATTTCAAATCATTTAAAATCAGCTACATAAAAAAGTCTATTTTCATTTTACCAAGTAGATGAGTCCTGATAAGATGGAATCTTAAGTCCCATTTGTTCCTATGCGGTTGTCAACTTTTTTCTATTTTTTCTTCTACGATTGAATTATTTTGCAAAGAAAATGATCCAATTATCTTTTAATTTTTTTTTAAAAGAGCAGAGATAAAATCAATGATATCAGCAAGATCATGCTGCCAGCTGATCTGCAAGTACTGTGGACTGTTACATATGTTATGCTTTACTAAACAAATTTAAAGAAAACCAAACAGAGATGGTAGAGAAGAGGTGAAATGGACCCCATTCATGAGTCATATATTTTCTTTTTTGATTGAGGAGTTATATTTTAAACTATAGAAGAATGATTCAATTCTCATGCATGGAATTTTCACACTCAATTGACAAAAATATCATCACTTTCCACTGACTTTTTTGACTTC